TCTGTAGTGATTGTTGTTAGGCAGCCGAAGTTTGCTACCCATCGTTAGACGAAGGCTCGGGCTACTGTTTCAGAAGTAATGTCCTTGATGGGTACTGTTTCTGGTCATCGAGTAAAACGGTCTACGCAGGGTAAAAGATAAGAATATCCATTTGAATCTGGCAAAAATCCCACAAAATCCAAATGAACATGGTCGAAGCGAGCATCGGGAGTGTTAAACGAGCCTAGGGGACATTTGTTATGTCTAATAACCTTACATTTCTGGCAGCTTACACAGGAGCGTGCCCACTCCCACACGTCTTTATTCATACCAGGCCGGCTAAACCGTTCTGCTATAAGCTTGATGGTTGCACGAACACCTGGATGAGAAAGTTTGTGCAACGTGTTGAAGATGTTGCGTCGATAATGTTTCGGCACGATTGGACGATCTCGACCTGTAGATGTGTCTTACAGTAAGGTTTTCTGACCTGTTCCCATCTGTTTAATGCGCATTTTTAGGGTTGTTGACGATAAATAGGGCTGAAGATCAATGTCTTCTTTTTGAAGCTGGGCGAGTTTTAAAAGGTCGATTCCTTGGAAACTGTTTAAGGAAGTTATTCGAGATAAATCGTCTGCAACTACATTGTTTGCTCCAGAAATGTGTCGAATATCTGAAGTAAACTGCGAAATGTAGTCCAGTTGTCGAGACTCACAAGGTGACTACTTGTCTGAAGAAGAGTTTAAAGAGAAAGTAAGCGGTTTATGGTCAGTGAAAAGATTAAATTAACGGCCTTTGATATAGTGTCGAAAATGCCGTACAGCACATTACACAGCCAGGAGTTCCCTACCGAATATGCTGTACCTCGATTCAGTGTCTAGCAACCTTCTAGAGAAAAATGCCAAAGGTTTTCAGGAGTGGTTAATCCATTGTTGTAAGACTCCTCCGATTGCTGAGTCGTATGTGTCTGCTGCGATACTAATGGGCGCTTCAGTGTCCTGATGAGCATGCATGGTTGCTTGAGCGATATGTTCCTTAACTGTGGAGAGTGCTTTTCGAGCGGTGTCATCCAGATTGATGGATTTCGCATTTCCACGAAGTTGGTCGGTAATGGGTTTCATAAGGGACGCGCATTTCGGTATGAATCGTCTATAAAAACTTACCAGACCGTTAAACGTGCACAACTGCTTGATGGTGGTCTGTTCTGGGTAATCCAGAATGGCCGCCACTTTTGTTCTAAGGGGTCGGATACCTTGCACATCGATAGTGTGTCCTAGGAAGTCTAAGGAGTCGGTTCCGATTTGGCATTTCTGAATGTTTACAGTAGTGCCATGTTTTTTTAGTCGGTCGAGAACAAGGTCCAGATGCTGGAGATGTGATTCTCTGTCCGAACTTGCTATTAGTCAGTCATCAACATACGCATGTAGGAAGTTGAGACGTCGAAAAACGTCGTCTATGAACCTTTGAAAAATCTGTGCCGCGTTTCTTAGACCGAAAGGCATTCACAAAAATTCATAGAGTCCGAAGGGCGTTATAATAGCGGTTTTCGGGATATCGTCAGTGGCCATAGGAATTTGGTTATACGCTTTAACCAAGTCAATTTTTGGAAAGACAGTTGTGCCTTTCAAGGTAGCTGTCAAGTCGTGAATGTGGGGCAACAGGTAGCGTTCGATAATGGTTTTTGCATTCAATCGCCGATAGTCACCAGCTGGACGCCAATCGTTGCTGTCCTTTTTAGGGACCATGTGCAACGGCGATGCCCATGGGCTATTTGACGGTCGTATGATTCCTCAGTCTATCATATGGTTAAATTCGTTTTTCACCAACCTTAACTTTTCGGGGGCCAGTCGGCGTGCTTTAGACAATACAAGTGGTCTTGTAGTCGTGATGTGATGTGTAGCGTTTCTGGTTACACACGGCAATTTCGGTTGCGATTGATAAATACCAGGATACTTATCGAGTGGTGGTTGATAGAAGGGGTCTATAGTGTGCTTAATAGTGACTGGAGATAACCTGCAACCAGAAAAAGAAGTTACGCAAACAGATAAATTAGTATTTCCGTCTACTAGCCTCTGTTTGCGCGTGTCGATGATTAAGTTGTGGTGTTGTAGAAGGTCCATACCAATGATCGGCGTAGAAACATCCGCAACAACAAAGATCCAGTGAATGGGTTTGCGTAAACACACGTTAAGATAAACGTGCCTTTTACCATACGTAGCTATAGGCTTTCCGTTGGATTCCTGTATATTTAAAACCGATTCGTGAAGTGTTGGGGACGGTAGATCCCTAAAAACTCATAGTTTGAAATTTTATCTTGTGGAGCTTGTATGCAAATGTATACGTGGGCATTTCTTAGCACCCACGCATATAGTCGATTGATGAATTTATCGATCAAATGTTTAAATAATTCAATGGCAGTCAATTGACGAACTATCGATTAGATGTTTAAAAGCTCCATGGCAATATCGATGTATAGATATTTGTATATATACGTTTAAAATTGTCTTGTAAAAAGTTTGCTGGTTTTCTGGTTGTTACAGAATATACTTTCATTCTAAGCTTGGTCTTCTCACTCTAGATAGCGGGGCTGGGACGCGTCAATAGATAGCTTACTGGACCTTGGTCACCGAATCCTCGATCTCGTTCTCAAACTACGTGAACCCGTGATAGCTCTCTTCTCTCTCTTTCAAAACCTAACATGAAGCCGGTCGTTGGAATTTACTGGGAGAACGCTAACTTCTGCGCCAGTATCGACGAGCTAACAAACTCTCGTTATCACATCGGTGACGTATAACAGACGGCTGTTTTCGCCGGCTACGGTTGCCGTTAACGCGTGGCGGCTTGGAAGTTTCCCGAAGCATTTTTCGTGTCGACCGATTTTGCGTTGGGAAAATTGCAGGGTTTTCTGCAATTTCTGGAGGACTTTCCATACTGGTCATGATACCAGCACCAGTCAGGATTATCCGTCTCTCGAGGTCTAGAGACAGATCGCCTAGGTGAAGTGCTTCTTCGCGTGGTGTGTGACCGGTTACGGTCGTTAAGAAGTTTAAGATAACGCGTAAGTGTATGACATAACTCTGTAATGTCATTCTGGGTCGTTTGAGGCTTTCCTTTGACTAAAAAAACCTCGGCATTAGAAGATTTTTTGATTTTGAGGATACGGTCGGCAGATGCAGCCAGCTCGTCTACGGCGTTGTTTTGAAACGAGACCAGCACAGCTTGCATCTGTTAAGGAAGCTTTGATAAGAAAAGTTGTTTGAACAGTCCATCATCGAAGGTTCTTTGGCCAATAACTTCTCTCATTCTTTGCAAAATGTCTGTGGCAGAACCGTGTCGCAAGTCGATGTTATTAAGGAGTTGGTCTAATCTTTGTCGATCGGTTAGATCTCCGCGCTTAAGGATGGCATGTTTGAGGGTTTTGTATGGGTCAGAAACATCACTAGTAAACATACTAGGTGTTACGTACCTGTTGAATTCGCGCAGTAGTGCCTTGACTACTGCACGTGTGTCGTTCACGCCGTGCTCGCAGAAGTCGGCTTCTGCATAGCAGAACCAAGCTTCGATGTTGTCTGGCCAGAAGGACATTAGTTGGAACGAAGGTGAGGACACAGTCTTTAACTTAAATACCTTAGGTGTCTGTTCAGTCATAGTGATATATCAAGTCCGAAAATGAACGAGTGGGAAAAAAAAATATATATCCAAAAACACGGGAAAAATATCACAATGTATAGAAAATTAAAATAAGACAATGATATATAAAATCCCAAAAAGAAACAGACTCACAGTTTGCAATTTGGTGTACCAGATCACGTCGGGCTCACCAATGAAGATGCCACAGGTATTCGAAGTTTGACAACGTTTTAACCAGTAACACTTAATATGAAGCGTACCCAACAAGTGAAATCAAAAGACAGAAGCGAGGAGATTCGAAGATATATTTGATAAGCTATCAACATATCGAAGATCGTCTGAACTAATCTGGCTAGCGATTACAGTAGATGTTTAGCACAGCGTTCCCACACGTGATCTGGTGCGGATGCATGACCGAGCGACTTCAGTTAGATGAGTTCATTAAAACGAATGTGGTCAGCATCCAATGTCTAAAACTTACAGAAGTATTTATTTTGTGGATTTATTTACCGCTACACCAGTAAAAAATATAAAATGGCGATGCAAGAAAATACTCATTTGAATTGACCTTTCGTTTTAAATACCGTAAAGTTTTCCAATAACTACTTACTTAAGTCTTACCTGCGAAGTTGTAACAACCACACTGACCAAATCTACAAATTGAGACCTTTTAAGTGTTGATTGTTTGTTTTGAAGATAGAACTATAATATTATATTTCTGAATTCATATGATTGTACTTTCTTGAATAAGGACAAGTTAAAGAATGCATCTGAAACCTTAACTGTGAAAAGTGGGGATATTTTAGTTGTATGTGATGGCTTTTGTCTGGTATGCTTCTCACCATGTAAGTTATTAGTTGATTTACCATTGTAGTGACTAACATATGTGGATTGTCGAAGGTGTACATTGTGAATATTTATTTCATTTTGTCATATGGAAGAGGAAATGGAAAAGGTAAGATGTTTTGATTTAATCCTGTGAATTTATTGACAGCTAATAATGGGTCTTTAATATTCATTAAACTGAAGTAATATAAACAGTTTACGTTGGTCAGTTTGTAAATGGCAATCAATATCGTTCTTTTACGATGATTTAATATTAAATGTTTAGTTAGCATAAAGAATTATTAGCACAAGATATGCAATCTTACAGCGAAATCCCGTCTTGTGTTTATAAAACTTGCCAGTGCTTCACCAAAGTGTAAAAAATTGATCACCAGTGATCAACTACGGCTTACCTTCATCTATTAAAGACTTCTATCACTTCTACCCTTATGACATCTTTTTTCATCGCCATAATATATTTGATGAATTGCTTATATTGTAATCACTTAGAAGTACATACCAACCACAACTGTCAAAAATGTATAGTATTTTAATTTGCAGTGGGTTATAATTTTTATAAGAGTATGTAAGCACATAAGGATACTAATGTACATGATTAATTAAGTTACATCTGACAAAATGAAAATAATGCAATATGAGCATGCCTAAAAAAAAGGTGACCAACAGATTTGAGAGGATTGTCAGGCGTCAGGTAAGATATGAAAAATGACACATCTAGTAGGAGAATGTAAATTAGTGTGTCATATTTTTCTATTTTGTGTAGAACACTTAAGATCTTACATGCTTAATGTATATGAGATGAGATGATGAACAGGGTAGAATGAGAAAGACTTAAGAAAAAAATCGGAAAAAAATTATTCAACCAAAAAACTGGCTGTATCTGTCATGTACAATTAATTTTAATGACATAAGTCAGTGTCAATATGAAATTCTTTGAGTCCTGTAACTTGGACCGGGATTAATGGCAAAGTTTTTCTTTTCAAAATACATTATCGAAATTTATCAAAGGGACTAATTGCTTTACATTTAAATTAGTAAATACGGTATGTTATTTCAAGTAAAATATATTACGAAACAGAATCCTTACATTCTAAATTATTTGAATGATTTTTTATAAATCATCTTCAACTTTGAAGTATCCTAAATGCGTTGATCCAATTTACTGTCTAGATTGAAACTAATCATCTTCAGAATAATAATAAATCATCACCACGATATTTGATTGTTATAATTAATTAACTTCAAAAAATTCATTTAATTCATTTTATTTGAGATTAGTTATCAACTATTTAGAAAAGGTGGATTATTTAGACCAAAACCAAACAATGCCTTGTGCTTCATCATTTAACTTGTTACATGTTTCAATGAACCATTGAAATGGATTAAAAGCAATATCATTTGACTGTACATTATCAATAAATTTTTGTTTAGTTTTTTGTATACATCTAATTCCATATAGGATATCACATTTGGATAGAGAAAATAGGCTTCCATCAACAGTTACTTCTTCTAATATAATTTTAGTATAGTCATATGTAACAATAAATGTATTATGTTTAATAATTGAATCATTTGATATAACTTTTTCTGTATATATTAAATCTGGGATCAAATCACAAAATTCAATGTATGTTGTTTGATCACATATAACTTTGCATAAGTTAACCGAAAGTCGATTAAAATAACCCATAGGTCGACCTAATGGAAACCATATTTCACGTACATATTCATTTTCTTCTATTTTATATTGTGTATTCAAATCTATGTAACTTATTGTATTATTATATAAAAATTCCATTGAATTATTATCAGAAAATATACAAGGATATATCATATAAGGTCTAGGATTGTTTAGTTGTACATTTTTCAAATGATCATTAACTAAAATCAAATCATGAATTTGAAATCCAGCTTCCAAAAGATCTGTCAGTAGTAAAACACTATTAATTGATAAATTTGGTTCACTAATTGAATGAACTGATAGACTGAAATAATCTTTCTCAGTTTTAACTTGTTTTAACAAACCTATAGGAGATTTTGATTTAGTTGAAGACCTCATGGCAAATTTGCTTCCTTGATGATGTGATGGTACATTTAATTGATGATTTCGTTTGTTTTGATGTATACGCTGTTGTTGTATTGTTTGTTGATGAGTTTTATTGGATGAAATTGATTTACACGTACGATATCCGAATGGAGGAAGTAGACAACGTATCAGTTGATATGGAATTGATTTATGATGATCCCATGAACTGAAATATTCTTTTAAACTTTCATTTGAATAACCAGATATTGCACTTAAGTACCATCTAAGGTATAAACTCTTACTACTGTTGTTCATATCATAGTAAGCGGAAGTTATAACTTGTGGATTTATTATACCATTAATGATCGTAAGAAATACTGTTGGATGTAAAATTAAATAACTCTTTAAATACTTATGTTTTGGAAAATAGAAAAATTGACCGATCGAATGATAGTAATTTAAACAATCTTCAATGTTATCAATTTTCATTTCGTCAAAAAATGTTTTGTCCAAAGTTAACTGGTTATTTTCAATTTTAGATGATGAACAGTTTTCATTATTTTGTTGTGATTGTAAGTCAAGTTTTACCATAAAATATGATTTCAGTTTATCACGTATATAAACGATTAAAGAATGCCATGATTTAGGAATGAAACAATCTCTATTAAATGTCTGACGGGTATAATTTATTCGGTGTTCAATTTCACTCCATAATTTGTCTATGTTAGTGATATTGGTCAAGTATGATTGATTTGTAACATGTACTTTATCTTCATGAGAAGAGGCAGTAAGATGTTTTGATAATGGTAGAGTTAGGTTAACAAAAGAGATATTCTCTAAAACGGTTATTTTATTATTTACTTCATGTTTGTACAGATTGGGCAAATTAAATGATTCAGTGCATTTTGACAAATGTTCAATAGTATTTATTATGTGTTTTTGAAGTACGTTACAAACACCGTTTTGAGTACTTTTTATATTGTCATCTGATTCATTGTTTTGAATAGTTATCACTGGGTTTTCTGATTTATTTGTTTCTAATGAATGATTCTGTTCTTCAACGATTTCATTAGTATTGATAGAGTCCTGTGAAAAAGACTTATATGGATCAATTTGATCACAATGTGTTCCTACTAATTTAATAATCGAACCTGGTGCATATATTCTCAATTTAAGTAAATGAAAATATATATTATGAATTGTTTGTTGTACATTTTCGACTAATAAATTTGTATTGAAAAGCAAAATATAAAGACTATTAATATCTAAAATATGTGGTAGAATTAATTCTAATCCGGAATATTGATTACATAAAGAAGAATGACAATGATCTAGATAACATAATTGAGGTAATGTAATTTCATAAAATATAACTTTAAATCCATTTGGTGAAGAACAATGATTTATTAATATTGGTGACCATTCTAATGGTAATTCAACATTATTTGGAATAGTTTGATTTATAGATTTATATTCAATTGAAAAATTTTCAAGTTGTGAAGGTAAACTAATCTGTGTACTTGTATTTGTTGAACTCTCTTTCATTAAACGTTTGATTAATGTTGATTTTCCAGATAATTTATCACCAATTATGAAAATTTTAGTTGGTTTTATATTTGATAATTCTTTTAATTTTTGATCCTAATAAAAGTAATACAATGATCATTATATGATAGTAACAATAATTAATAACAATAATAATTAATAATCAATAATTAATAATTAATGAATTGAATTGATCTTATTTGATTCATTACCTGCAAATAATTAATAGTAGTAAGTTTGGAGCTAATCCGTGTCGGGTAGAGACAGGTATCTACCTTAGTACAATGGAAGATGGTCGCGCAATTTCGTGGATTGGTTGATGTTAGACACTAACACCAATGGATGCCGGCTCATTGGTCCAGCAGGTTAAGCGTTCGCGCGCGAAAATGAAGGCCTTGGGTTCGAGTTCCGCGAGCGAGATAGTGGATGCGCACTGCTGAGGGTCTCACAATAGGATGAAACGGCAGTGCAGTGCTTCCAGGTTTTCAATGGTGATCTCACATCAATCAGTTCATGATCTCAATCAAAAAAGTAATAAGTTTATTTGTTAGTAGTATATGTTTTATTATTGTAAAAGATTATCAGAATTAATTACTCAATATTGCGGTAATCTCTCTCTCTCCCTTCAACTTACATTTAAATAGCAAATGTTTTAAATAAAAATGTGTGATGCTTTAGTTTATGATTAAAACTAAAGAAACAATTACTCATTTTGACATATTTTAATAGTGTAATAAACAGAGTTGGTCTAAGGATTGTGATGTATTTGTACCGTACATGATTAAATTGTTTGAAATGATTATGGTCAATCTATCACAATTTCAGACTGACTCTGTCTCTTTACTATGTAATAAACATGAGTGTAGATGCGGATGCCTAGTTGTGTCTTGGTAAAATATGAGAATACTTAATTTGCGAATTTCTATCATTTGTTATTTATATTCTGTATAATTCTACTTATTTACAATTCCTTTCTATCTTCTTTTCTATTCTCTTCAATTCGATATTCTTAGCCTTCTGCTGCCAGGGTTTCTATTTCCAAATGGTGTTACATACTAATTATATCTGTTGACATAAGTAGCATACGTCATAGCTATATAATTAAAGTAGTCAGTATACTTCACTCATAGTCAGTATTTTGAGTGAATCATATATTGGATACATGTATTTCAATTTAGTTGTTTCACCTTTCTCCAAATTTAAGAGGAGAAAAATATGTTAACGACTGAAGTGCGTTTTTGGGAATTTTCAGTATTTAGCATCGCGATATGTTGTTTGGCTTGTATAAAATTGTGTGAGTACTTGCGGTGAGTATTCATAATTAATAGTTTATTGTAATATTTGAACAGTTGGAGAATAGATCTATAAAGCGTTTAAGTAAACGATTCTATATATTAATGGAGAGAAGATATCAATCCATTTAATTTCTCAAGTTTTATCAACAAGACAATAATATCATAAACATAGTAGTCATACATAATCCCTTGTCATCTATGAACATTAAAAGTGATACAATTGTTCATAAATGAAAACGAATGTTGTAACACAGTTTCTCATTAGCAATCTAATTAGTAATAATCAGTATTTCATATATTCATTTGACTATTAATCTATACAGTTCTCTTTCTATTGAAACACTTAATTGTCATTCTGTTGACGATAAAACTGTATTATTTGTTCTTGCTTAGTGTTTTATCAGAATAGTTAAAATTATTACAATGTAAATCTTCATATCGAAGAGATTAATAATAAAAGTAAAATTACGAAAAGACAAACTGATTTTAAATTGTTTATAAGCAAAGATAGGTAGTGGCTAGTAGTGAGATTCAGGAAGCGCGTTTCGTCCTATTTCGGACTCGTCAGACCCAAGCAACAACGAGAAGATACAAGCAAACAATAGCAAGTGGTTTTAAATTGCTTTTAACTAGTACTATTTTACTGTATCTTGATAGAATAATTTAAATATATGTATTTTTTAACCCATAGTGTAGTGATCAAGAACACGGGTAGGTACAATCGAATGTATTTGACAAATTACAGAACTAGTTAGTAAAATCTAACAACCATATAATAAATGCTCCATTTGCAAAATGTCTATCAATTGTCTCAAATGACTCAGACTCCTTTTGTTCTTGCATTTTCATACAAATTGCGTTCTGTTTTTTGTTCTTTACTGTTCGATCTTCTTGTTTCTCTGCTGTCAGGCATTCTATTCACGACTAACATCATATACTACTTATGTCTACATAAGTAGCACACACCATAATAGTAAGTCATCTACTTATTTCGTTACTTTAAGATTAATCACTTCATTTTACAAGCATTATCGTTCATATATTTTTCTGTTGATTGTTAAACTATCTTCTAACTGAAAATGTATTTGCTTTCAAACATTAAACCAAGCAATCACTTTGAAAATAACAGAATAATATTGAGATGGTAAAGAGTTTTATTCACTTACTTCTAAGTATTTCCACAAATGTTTAGTATCTATTGTTTTCCATACACTTTGTGGTATACTGGTTAATGGATTACCTTGGAGCCAAAGACCAGATCTATTCAATCCTTTATACAAGTGAGATATCTGGATATTTTTGAGTAAATATAAATCTCCAGGTAAATTTGATAACTGATTATAGCTCACATCAAGTGTTCTAAGTTCTTTGAGTTGACATATTGTATTTGGCAATGATGTAAGCTTATTTTCAGAGAGGAATAATTCTTCAAGACTAATCAGGCTATTTATATCGTCAGGTAATTGACTTATCTATAAGCAAACAGTACAAATCAAAATAGGAATTGGTAAATTTTAATAGAATGATAAATAGAAATAAATTTTTATCAAGTTAATGTCGAACTATATAGTATAGAATTAAGTAAAAACCGTGAATCAGCTGAGTCATGTAAAAGGTACTATTCATTTATACACTTGTATGTGCTTCAGCATAATTTATAATCCTGTGGTAATTACATCAAGTATCATCTAAAATATAGAAACATATAACCAAATGCCCTGGTACGGCTGAGGGTGTGGAGAGTCGGCTCTCCCTCTCCAAATGCTCTCACATGGACACAAGCATACAGCCATTGCCAGAAAAGTCCTACTCAGTGCCTTCTCGTACCAGGACTGTTCTTTACGAAACCGAGAGGACAAAAAGAGAATTTTCGGCGATTTAACCGGGTTGGTGAATATGGAGGATTCACCTAGAGGAGTTAGAAAACCTCGATTCCAAACCAATGATGTTCATGGGCTCTAGGATCCTGGGGAAAAAATGGCTCGTGAACCAATCGTTGGTCACCAGCTACCATTGGACTGCATCTTCTCACGTTGCTCTACTGCCTTATGGATCAGACATTAAGGTCGAAGGTTGGAGGTGTGGCCCCCTAAGAATACCTGCTTTGGTCTAGGTACCCGGACAGTATCACAACCCACACACAAATCAAGTGACTTGTGCGGCGCATATGTATTTAATGCTCCTATATATCAATATTTATGTGTTCAAATAAATAAGTAAAAATAAATGAAAAGACGGGCAAACTTAACATATAGCTTCAAACTAACTAAACACTAACATCGTCAATGGTATATCTACTAAATATGATGAGTAATTTTTAAAATATCTAACAGCATACAATATTACGAAATGAAAGTAGAGAATTCTTACTACAAACAAGTGAGCCTTAGAATTAGGAACACACCAAAACATTTTAGTAAAAAAGTTAGGATATACGTGATAATTAGAAAATATTTTGTTTTGATTAAATCAGAGTGAACGACGTATCGATAAAATACCAACTAATGTTTAATATTTTTACCGTTAGCTTAAACACAAGAATAGAAATAACAATGAATTATTTGAGAATATATACTGACAGGCATATTTGATCAAACAGGAATTATGGAAACACTATTTTCGTTATGTTGTGAATGGTATTATGCGAAAATTATGAGATAAAAAAACCAAGCAAAGTCAAAATTTTGATTCCTTCATATTTTGAATAAAAATTTCATATGGCTAACTTATAAATGGAGTTGTCAAAGTTTCACTGCAAATATTGTAACTTCGAAATCCAATCCACTAGGAGGGAAGCTAGTATCCAACCCAGTCTAATTAAATGATGGTCATCCTGTATGATAAATGCAAACCAATGAGTTCAAACTACATGAAATATAGTTAGTTATGACATTTAACGGTTTTTGTTTCAGTCTCAGGTGAATAGTTGTTCTACACTCATTGTATGCCTTGAATATGAACTAGAAAATTGTCTGGTTTCACAAATGGTGTCTTTCAAAGATCCTCGAAATTCTTGACAAAACTGTATTATTGCCTAATAATGTTTTGGAAATGAAATAAATATTTAAAAAATTTTTTTAACTCACCTTATTTCGACTTAAATCTAATAGTTCTAATCTAATCATTCCACATAATACTCCATTTTGCAAACAAGTTAAATTCATTGAAGACAATTTTAATACTTTAAGCATTTGGAACTTAGCTCCGAAATCTTTTGGTAATAAAACTGACTTATCATCTTCACCATCTAATTTGTTATCAGATAAATCTAAATATTCCAATGTATTATATAGTGTAAACAATCCTTGTGGAATTTCTCTGAAATAATTTTTTGATAAATACAGTTCACGAAGTCTCTTTAGTAATGTTAAGTTTTCTGGAATGAAGTTTAACTGGCAACGATCAAGATGTAATGTCTATAGATTTGAAATTTAAAAAAATAATTTAGGTTTGTAGAAGAAAAAATGAAAATTAGTTTTTTCGTTTGTGACAAATATTGTTTTCATTATCAATTAGCATCAGCCATAACTTATGAAAGTAAGTAATTTAGGAGTGGAGTGGTGGCAAGCTAATGATAACATTAAGTGATAACCACGGGTGTATAACGAAACTGTGTTTTGGGCTACTGATGTCGACATATATAAGTAAATGAAATGTCTGGTGGTAGAAGGTAAGGAAGATCGAAGAAAAGAGAACAAGAACAGCGAATGATTGGTGTGGAAACGAAGGAACTCTTGAGTCTAATACAATTGATTGACATTTTGCAAATGAAGGATTTACTGCATGGTTCTCAGATTTTACTAAGAGATTCTGTAATTTTATACTTAAATACATTTGGTTATCCCCGATAGTGCTCTCATTAACTACAAAACTACTAAATCCGAAGATCATTAACATTTACGTTTCATTTAAGTGATTCGATCTAGTGTAGATTCATGAATGCGTCGAATGCCTGTAAGTCCGGCAGTAGGGCACAATGTCTATATTGATTACTAACAGTTCTTCAGTTGAAGACAATCTTTAATATTATTAACTATAGATTCAGTCAGTGCACAAAAACAACCTAATTAAACTATATATATATATTAGCTTTGACCTTTAAAAGTAGCTATTTCTAAGAAAGTTTTGAAAAGTTTACCAATATTACAATCATTTTGATGTATTCGAAATACAAATGATGAATAATACAATGAAAGATTACCATTAAATTATTATTTTAAATAATGACAGTCCAAAGAAGAAAATATTACTGTAAGTAGCAGTAAAGCTGTACAATCTACTTTTAAATAGTTTTACAAATATTAGCTTCAATAGTTGAAATCATGAGTCAATTAAAGCTAGACCACCATGGAAAACCTGGAAGTACTGGATAGCCGTTTCGTCCTAATATGGGACTCCTCTGCAGTGCGCATCCACGATCCCGCACCCCGTGAGATTTGAATCCAGGATCTATCAGTTTTTGTGCACGAGTGCTTCATCACCAGACCCCTGAGCCGACCGGTATCCAACGGTGTTAATGTCTAACTTCAACTAATTTACGAAATTTCACCACCGTATACCATTGTGTTGAGTGAGCTGATATTTCACACAGATCTGGTTGAACTCCACTGGTCAGGGATTCTCACTAGAACTTCAGGAAATGCCTCTTGAATTCAGTTGCTAGTGAGCAAACTACCATGGAAAACTTGGAAGTACTGAACCCATGATCTCAACTATTAAAAATTACTACAATATCCACAAATTCCCAATCTGATAAGTAATTCTTGTTTAATTATTACGTAAATTATATTCAACACTTGCAATGCTTCATTAACTTTTGTTAATTTTAATAATGACGCAATACGTTTTTATTTCATGGTAGAATATTTTGTTTAAAAATCTATAATGAAATTTAATAGAAAATTTTTTTGTCTTTTAACTGTCTTTATTCAAAATTAATAATTCTTTAGAAATACTATTTGATTATTCAGTTATTTCATTTATGAAAATGGATTTATGTATTGGCGCTAACTGGAAATCTTATAGACATGATATTATTGTCATGACAGGTACATATCTAGTAAAGTCGGATCTTAATATAGTAATCGCTTTGAAGTTAATTACGTTGAATATGGGTTTTAAGAGACTAATAAATTATTCAATCAAATAATAATACTGAACAAGATTTAAAAATCAATGTTTTATATAAACAACTTCGAACTTTTCTCAATGATTAAAATATTGAATCTCACAAACTCAAAAATAGGGATTATTAGAAGTTTTGTTTAATATAAGCATATCTAATTGATAAGTCTGTGTAAATATTTTTCTGATTAGCGTTTCTTTAGCGAGTTAGTTTTCTACCGGATGGGGTCTCTAACCCCATGCCCAACCCTTCTCCTTTATTCGGGCTTGTAACCGGCAGTAGCCCCTGGAGGGACTCAAGGCGGAGTCCTGTGTAAATATGATGGGGAAAAATTACTGTTTTCATATTCAATATAGTAAATGGAGCTCCTCAGATGTAAAAACATATTCAGCAGTAATAAAGTGTTGATAACTCGCTAAAACGATCAGAAAATAATGAATAATCAACACATTATTGATTATGCGTAGTTTTTCACGTGATTAAAGGCTAAAATGATAGGTGGCTGTTGGTTTATGATTCACTTGAATAGATGAAACGGCAATGTTTACATTTACAAGTTGATCATGTGTCGGACAGTGGTTAACAATGCAACCCTGTGGCCTAGTTAATGACATTTAAAAAGATAGGTACTGTGATGTGTGATGTAAAATTAAATACAGCTGATGAGTCTAAAATAAAGTGTATAGCTCATTGCAAATTCTATTGTTAATCACTATTGATAATATATAATAAAGTTATTTCAAAGTAAGGAATAGTGAAACTTACAGTGAGTCTTCGTAGTTTAAAAATGACGGTCGGTATATGATGTGATTTCATTTGACCTGATCGAAGTAATGTATCTAGTCGTTCAGCGATTGAAATTGCAGTTTCTTCTGCTACAATAGATTTTCTTGGTTTATTTGCTTCTATTGTAATATTATTTTCTCCAGCTTCATCAGTTGAGTCAATAAAATTGACCATTTTAACTTTGGAAACTTTCCTTGGTTTAATTAAAGCTTTTATAAAGTGTCGATAATCTAAATGTAAGGCTTTTAATTTATAAAGTTTTGAAAATTCATCCGGAAGCGACGTTATCTCATTTCCATATAAATTTATTGTACGTAATTTAGAGCAATTAATGATCTGTACTGGTAATGTACTTAGTCCCATTCGTTTAGCCAATAAACAACGTAACTCCAACAAGTTACCTATCTGTGTATCGAAAAGAAACGGAAGTTTTGTGTTTATTAGTTATTTAAAATTCAGCTGTTATAAGAATCATAATTAGTTGATAAAGAAGTCTTGAATAAGGTCGATAGGTTGTTGACTGTGAATATAAGTCGTAAATTAACAATACTTTTGATATAACATAAAGATATACTGGTTACACTGAACTTGAAAACATTGATGTGTAATTGTAGAAAAAGTACATGAAAGTTAAATATTACTTATTGAAATCGTGAAATCTTGATTCCAAAATTACTGAGTACTCGTGAAATAACCACATTTCCATTTGGTCTTCACTATTGTTCTAAAATGAATTATCATTCTCATTAATGTAGTTTGAGTAAGAATTACTTGAAAAATCTGGTAAAAAAGCTGAAATAACTAACATTATTTCCAGTCAAGCTAATCGATGAAACTCTGAAGCAGGACAAGAGATCCACAAGTGTATTTCAGATTTGAAACGTAGATTGGATTAATCTGTAGCCCTAATTAGACAGGTATTTGAAAGTGTCATAAAATGTATTCAGTTTAAATGTCAGTATCTCCCTAAAGATTGTTCATAAAGCAGTAATTTGATCACTTACATATGCACTATCTTAAAGAACCAAGTGGTTAGTTTCTCTTGACATGACCACCTCCAGTATTAATAAGGAGACGTGCATTACCAATAAAATTAAAATACTATACATGTGACACAGAGGTACCCACCTAAGCGAGAACCTACAGAGGGATTTTAAAAATACGTAAAGTTTCAAAATGTAATTAAATATAAACCTTGAAAATGTCCAAATTTCTAGATTTTCTATCTCATCAATATCTACGTAGATTCTCAAGACGTAACGAAAATTTTAGTTAAGTAAATAATATATCTTTATATATGATCTGGATTGAAGTAGGGTTGTTCATGTTATTAGTTTCCATTTGTAGGCTATTATCATGAAGTTATGACACCAACAAGAGAACTACTGGAAATCAAGGAGCATTAACAAAAGTTTCATCCTATTTTTGAGCTCTTCAACATTGTTTATCCTCGAACTGTTGATAGAATGCGGTGACAAACTTCAGGAATTATGGAACTTGAGTATTCTTTAAATTAATAAGTAAGAATTCCATGATTTAAATTTCAAACTGTAGTCAGTTTATTTTATCTATTCAACAGTCATCTAATGTTAATGGTCGTGCTCATTGTACTTCGAACATTTGTAAACTGTACCAGTCACAATCTCTTAAGAATTTAAGACATTCTCTTTATAGTTAATGATTATTCCGTTGAGTAATTTTTAGAGATTGATTTTCAATTCTTTCTTAGCTGATATTAGTCAGTAACAAAACTATCCCCCAAAAAGAATATTTAAACTATTCCAACTGCACGTTATTGATTTTAAATATGCTTCAATTCACTAAATTTATAAATGATCAAGAAATGACATAGGAAAGGTAATGATAAATGTAATGAATAGATTATAGATAAGTCAGTAAAAAGAATATAAAGGATATTATAGCTTGGAATAGAATTTAGATAAAATCTCTATTTCTAACAAACGGAAATGGTGAGACTATGATTGACGGACGACCTTTGAGCGACGCTAAAGTGACGTTGGGAATGTTCATCTACTTACTAGAGCTAAATGAGGATTATAAAGTAGTTTGAAGAATAAGGATTATGATTTACAATTGATGGTTAGAATTAAGAATTAGATTTATGGTTTTCATCATGAACTGACATCAGCCAAAATGCCAAAACGCTATTCAGCTAAATGGATGAATGAATCTCGTGCCAAAATCCAAGACCTGTTGTCTTAAATCTTATTGGTTCTTCCATAAATCATAGTCTCGCCATGGAAATAGTATCTAAAAAAATCTAGACTTGTTGATATCAATAGGAATAAGTTGTTTTCTATTTCATGAAGTATTGATTCATCAGGACAAAAGTAAGGTGAAACAATACATTGATTATCATTATTGAAGATAATGAAATTATTTCGACGACTTATTCAATATTATTTAATATTAGACAATAGAAAAAAGGTATTTTTCTTCTGTGAATATATTTGTTATCATAAATAGGATGTATAGAAGGAAATAAGTTTATTTTTATATATTAAGCATACTTTTAGGACAAACTAGATGAAACGGTGTACAAATAATGAAATGTTTTTGTACGTCGTATTAAGTATGGTATTACTGTCAATAGTTCACCAGAGCATGAAGTAAACATTAATGCGAGTTTTAAAGCTAACCAAAACTAAAGTTTTTCAGAGAATTCATTATCATTCAGAAAAAATTAACACTATCCAGATGCTCAGTAAAATAAGAACAATTTAAAGTGTAAATGGCAGTTTTGCTAAAGTTGAGAGCTAGCTTGCATTACAAATTAATATTACGCTTTGGAATGATTGATACAAAACACGATAAGATTAGTTTAAAAAGTTCTGCAGTGTCGGTTACTACGCTAAGCCCATATACCTTATTCTAGCTTCTGGACAGCCCAATTTATCCGTTCATCTTGAGTTACGTTTTGACCTCGCTAATTATTCACTTATCAACCTTGAGTGTATGTATGTTTACTTCTTATTCTATTTATCATTCTGTAACCTATTTTTATCTGGCTATAAATCATGATTAACGCTTGATTAAATAGAGTTGTCTCACACAATTTCTCCACTGCGCGAAATTTCGTTTCGCTCTGATTGTCTGTCCAGATCAATGACTGTATAAAATATACGTATTCGAAATCCTTTCTCGAATTTAACTTATTTTTATTCCATTATTCACTAACGCGAGTTAAGTCGATAATTATATACGAGGATAGGCGACATAAATATTTCCATAGTGATCAACATATGATCGAATTGGAGTCAGATCCTGGGTCACCAAAGTTTTAGCAGCATTGAAGCCGAAATATGTTGAATTCGGAATTAAGGCTTATTGGATTCTAGTCCAGCAGTCTAGGTGTCTTGTATTGTTGACCAAAAATCCAAGTGTTCTTAGTTTTAATCTCACCTTCTGATCATCAATGCACACTATTGTGAGTTTGTAAACCAAGTTGTAACATTTATCAAGTACCCTTAGTTAATGCTAGTACGTTAACGAGTCTCTGCGAATCAAGAAACTAAATAAGAAAACTGAATTAATAAAACTGAATAAAGATTATCCAATTGGTTAAGAATGGCAAAATAATCTACAACTAAGCTCATTATTTCAAAGACAGAACCTTTCAGAATACGTGGAATGTTCAATGACAAACTTTATGAAAAAATCAATGAAAATCGCATTCTATTTATAAAATAATTCATATTTCCACTAATAGTGTTCATCTTTTTCTTGTATAAAAATGTATTTTAAGAAATAGAATTTATTCAGTGAAGTGATAATGGATACAATATTTGAATAATTTTACGATTAAGTATTATATATCTAAGTAGTTTGTTAAATTGTTAGTGGGTCAGAACTTTTGAAGGCAACTTCTGATAATAATATCAGAAAGGGTTTTGTAGAGATTTTAGTAATTTCAACAGTTAAAGTTATGGGTCAATTAAAGCTAGACCACCATGGAAAACCTGGAAGTACTGGATGGCCGTTTCGTCCTATTATGGGACTCCTCTGCAGTGCGCATCCACGATCCCGCACCCCGTGAGATTTGAATCCAGGATCTATCATTTTTTGTGCACGAGTGCTTCATCACCAGACCCCTGAGCCGACCGGTATCCAACGGTGTTAATGTCTAACTTCAACTAATTTACGAAATTGCACCACCGTATACCATTGTGTTGAGTGAGCTGATATTTCACACAGATCTGGTTGAACTCCACTGGTCAGGGATTCTCACTAGAACTTCAGGAAATGCCTCTTGAATTCAGTCACTTGTGAGCAGATGATTATTATAAGTTCTTGGTATCATTAGTTTAGACCTTCAATTTAAGCCGATTTTAAATCTTGCTTAACTATGATTAACGTTTTAGTTATGGTCTGATCTAGAAATTCTGCTTATATTAGATCACTAGAAAGCTGATGATTGTCATTTTGCTGGAATGATGTTATGATAATCGTATACATTACATTAACACATAATGATATCGTGAATGCATTGATGTTAGACCTCCGTTGAAAACCCGGAAGCACTAGACGGCCATTTCGTTCTAGTATGGGACTCCTCAGAAGTGCGCATTCAGTGAAAACAATGGTGGACAGTCGTGCAATATCATGTATTGACCGGAGTAAGACATTAACAGCGTTAAATGCCGACTGGCTCAGTGGTCTAATGGTTAGGCGCTCTCACGCGAGACTGATGGTTCCTGGATTCGAATCTCTCAGGAGGTGAGATCGTGGATGGTCACTGTTGGGGAGCTCCATACTGGGACAAAACGGCCATCCAGTGCTTCCAGATTTTCCTTGGTGGTCTAGTTTCAATTGACTCATTATTTCAACTAATGATAATATTACTTTAAAACGTTGAAATCACGAACTGATCTCAGCTTAACCATCATTAAATACCTTAAAGTATTAGACAGCTATTTTGTCCTAGTATAAAACTCCTCAACAATAAGAATCTATAACTTTACATGTACAATCTCCACAAATCCTCCCCGCCCCACATTTCTAATAATAATAATAATAATAATTTTACTTACCGTTGTAGGAATTTCATTTGTCCAATTCTCACTTAAATCTAATTTAGTTAAACTATTAATTTGAAATACAACTTTTGGAATAAATTTTAAATCACATGAAGAGATTTTTAATGTTTTTAAATGAATTAAACGATTCATATCTTTTGGTAATTGTACATTCTCATTTAAATCAATTGATTTATTTCTATTCATTAATTTACTATTACGATGAATGAATTCATTATTATTTTTCATTTGAAAAGTATTAGTTGAATTCATTTCAGATACTTCAGAGTAACCACGTAAATTATTATGACTTATATCCAAATATTGTAAATTGATCATATCACATATTTCTGATGGTAAAAAACTAAGATTATTATTAGATAAATTTAATTTAGTAATTGTTATTCCTGGAATAATAAAAATTATAAAAAAAAATAAAATTAAGAAAGAAATGATGAATATTAACTAGCAAAAAATAGGTAAGTTCAAACTTTATCATCTATTCTAGTTAACCATCTTAAATTAAATAGATTAAACAACAATGAAAAGGTTATTATTGAATAGTAGTCAAAGTCATATAAATAATTCTAATAAGTTTAATTGTCAGATTGCTGTATGATGATCATTAGAGTGAGAGCACTGGACTGGAGTTTGACTTTAGCACAGAACTATTCATTCTTCAGTACTGATTACTTTAAGTGAAAGTGATCACAGAGATTTAGAGTGTTCATTTTCGTGAACAAGACACCTTCAAACTTTTAACTTGAATCGTTCAGATTTTTCTTCTGGAATGAATTCGTGATATAGTACAGACATAATTTAATATCACTGCTATGTACTGTATTGCTTTTAAAATAAGCATTTATAATAGTTGAATTTACGAATTGATCTAGGCCGGACCATCATTGAAAGCATGAAAGCACGGGACAACCGTTTCGTTCTAGTACGGGACTCTTCAGCAGTGTGAATCGATGATCCCATACTCGGGACTCGAACCCGAAACCTGAAGTCTCGTACGCGCACGCATAGCCTCCAGACCACTAATTTGGCATCCAACAGTGTTTATGTTTAATTTTGGTTGATCAACAACCTAGTGCAACATTTTATTCATTGTCTGAGGTCGATAACTATTTCACACTTGACACGGATTGAACTCCACTGGCTTAAGTCCACTCGTGAATCCAACTGGTAAAAAATATTACAATCTTCACAAATCTCCTTACTAAAATAGGCATGATAATACTTTCAAGTCAGCTTTTATCTTGATATTTTTTTCACATAGAAAATAAATTCAATTATCATGTTTGGACCTAGAAATAATCTGATTTCCATCATTTGTTTATTTATTTTACTGTCTGAACACATAAATATTGGTATATAAGGGCATCGAATACATATGCGACACGCAATTCACTTGATTTGTGTGTGGGTTGTGATACTATCCGGGTGCCCAGACCAAAGCACATAGTCTTCCTAGGAAGCCACACACGGAGACTTCGACCTTAAGTTTTGATCGATAAGGTAGTGGAGTAACATGAGGAGATGAAGTCCAATGGTAGCTGGTGAATAACAATTGCTTCATACACGTTTGTTCCCTCAGGATCCTGGAGACCATGAACATCATTGGTTTGGAATCGATGTTTTTCAACTCCTCTAGGTGAATCCTCCATATTCACTAACCCGGTTAAATCGCCGAAAATTCTCTTTTTGTCCTTTCGGTTGCGTAAAGAACAGTCCTGGTACGAGAAGGCACTGAATAGGACTTTTCTGGCAATGGCTGTATGCTTGTGTCCATGTGAGAGCATTTGGAGAGGGAGAGCCGATTCTCCTCACTCTCGGCCGTACCAGGGCATTTGGGGGCATGATTTGCAATATTTGCTTTTTAATAATAGAAGTGGTCCTAACATAACATGTTGTTTTTGAGTTTTAAATTTTGTAATTACTTTGTTCATGTCATTTATGATAACTTCAAAATTTCTATCTATCTATCTATCTATTTTTTTATCTACTTATCTATTCATAATGGCAAATTCAATATGTACATGTTTGTTGTGAGTGAAAGTTTCCAATTTGTTAAGCCCATCGATCGCTCAGGTTTATTTTTCTATAAAGTGGCAAATTAGTTAAAGTATACAAGATATACGAGTTTTGAGAACACTTTTATTTAAAACTGTCACGAAGTTATTATTTTTAGCTAGTTAAATGTCTTATTCATTTTTTATCGTATATTAATACACATATTAAAGTTAAAAATAACACCAGTAAATAAGCAGTATTGTATTGTTTTTAAAGTATTTAAATACCGTTCATATCAAAATAACAGATTTCCGATTGAAGAAGTAATATCAAGAATTACATTGAGAAGGTGGAGAAGATTTGCAGCTCAGGTGGATGATTTTGTTGGAGTTATGTTCTGTGAGATGGGTGGTTTGGTCGTGGAGCTTTCATCGTTCTTCTGAACGACATAATCAGCGCAAACTTCAGTACAATCTGTGAGTAATATGTGGATAAATTCGAACACTTCATTCCTACTTGAAGTTTGTGCAGGTGATGTCATCCAGAAGAACGATGAAGGCTCCACGACCAAACTATCCGGCTTAGAGAACAAAACGCTACTAAAATCTTTTTACATATTAAATTATTCATTAAGAAAATTATCAGGTCAGGAATATTTCGACACCATAAAATATACTATAATTTAACTACACCCAATATAACTTTCATAAATTATTTTGATAGGCATAGACATAGTAAACAGTTATTATTGATTACTAACGAAAAAAAGATCAAAATAAGAATAGCATCAAGTAAACTGATGAAGCTGAAAAGTCGTTCCCGAATTCATTTGTTAACAACTTCACATGATTTTAAAACCGCTTAAATCACTTGATTAGATTACATGGGTATTAACTTGTAAAAAGTATTATCTTTTTCACTACTCACTTATAAAATGTGGTTCATATGTGTTACGAAAGTCAGTGTAGTTCATTTGTAACAAGCTAAACAAGTGCTAAATATTAATACTTCTAGACAATTCGGATCAATACAAAAATAGTTCTCTTAAAAATGAACTTGATCTGTTATTTTTCCTATCAAGACATAATGAATTTTAACTACAATAGTATGTGGAATATTATTTAGCTAATCACTGTCAGCTAACAACTAAAATGATCAAAATGTTAATATGCTAAAATCAGGTTTTTATGTTTATGATAAAAATCTTTTAAGTGTTTAAATATGTTGACTAAACATTGTTCTCTTGCCAGTTTCATCAGAACTAACACAAGCATTACAATATATGATTGTTTAGGGTCTAATCTTATATATAAATCATGAATGTGTACCGCTAAACAATTTCTTAGTATTCATTGGTCTCTCAAGAGATATTGATCCGTGACGAAAATTATCACCAAGTCAATATAATCTAATAATTGTATCATTTTATTAAAATTTTAGATATATTTAAGTGCATTATATAAACTATTATTTTAGTTGCATAGCAACAGATAATCATTTAAGTACAATACTAACTAAAAATCATACCGTTTTATATTAGGAGAATAATTTTCTATAAACATATATAGGTGGTTTGAATTTATGCAGGTATAACAAAACAATAAAAAATTTGTCTGGTTATATAAATATATATCTATATATTTAAGCTTTTATTTTGATAATACTAGTCAAGCATAAAATCTATGCTTGTTTTGATTAAACATACCTATACTATATTTTATTTGTTAGATAATTCATTTTATGTAACAATTTTAAAAAGGAAAGTATTATCCTATTGTATTGTACACTTCTTTATTTCAATATAAAATAAGAGATGAGTAAAAAGTATAGAATAATTTTTTAAGTTTTCACATATAAGCTTTATTGTCTTAGATGGATGATAATTGATTATCATAAAAAAAAAATTGATTAGTCAAATAGAAAGATAATTTTCTTATTAAATTTATATGAGTTTATAAGTTGATTAAATTATCAATTCATTTATATTAGTTGATCTAATGTAAAATAGATACACAATTTATAAATGATACAGTTAGTGTTAACATACACACACACACAATTTAACTGAGTGATTTATTCAACTAGGCGAACCAAGAAGGAGATTGTTATATGAAAAAGAGAATTCAACGATGAAAATTTTATTTTTGATGAAATCAAATATTTAGGCTGTACAATATATGTCTATGGGAGGATAGAAAAGATTGCATTACAAAAATGGATTCGAGACTAAATAACAAATGAGGTTACGTACCAATCAAGAGGACTAGGAAGAACATAGTTTATGGGTCAACTAATAGGTTCAATTGACAGATATGAAGAAAAGCAACAAACACAAAGGTTATAATGATATAAACTGGATAATAATCAAGAAAACTTGTATAAGGTAGTAATAATGATAATAATAACTAATTAGAGTTTAAAATTGAAAAATAATAAAATTTAAAAAATTCATTAACAACCAGAAAAATACCCATTAAGGGAATTAGGGCCAAGGAATGATGAGAGGTTGGACAAATCGTTTCTGTTCAGGCTTGAGTTCATGGATTGATAAAAGGTATAAATCAAATGTTTGTAGATTTATTAGAAAACATTAGTTGCTTTCAAATGACTTATATAACTTGTATATAAGTAAAAAGCTGTTTATCAATTTTAAGATCTTAAAAAGAATCAAGTTTATTTAATCCTTCTATGGTATAAATGGTGGAACGTTGTTTTACTTTTTTTTCTTTTTTTTTACCAGTACTAAAAATCCTAATGTTGAAGTGTTTACAATTAGATTAACTGTGATCGTTATATTTTTTTGCGAAACTTTCTATATAATTATAGAACTAAACTATTAAAAACCATGAATATTACAAATCAGTCAATCATCTAGCAAACAAACAAACAAACAAACAAACTTTTACGAGTTCATTTCAATGTCTGATTGTTTTACTTTTTAACAATCTTATGTTGTGAATTTTATAAATCCATTGGGAAATTAAAATTTCTGAAAAGAATAAACAAGAATATTTGACTATTTGAGATGTTTTATTATTTTTATAAGTGAGTGATTGAAATTTTAATATTTCAAAACAGTAAATGATTATTAGAGTACCAATTCATTCTTGTTTAATTTGTGAAAATTATATTTGAAATAAACTTAGAGATTGAAGTTTAAATAATTTTAATGTTTTGTCCACGAAATTCGTCCGGATTTCATCAGGATGATAATCAAAATTATCAAAGAATATATTAAGTTTTTGATGGAGTTTTGTACTATGAGCTGGATGGTTTGGTCTCGGAGCTTTCATTATTCTTTTGAACGATATCATTAGTACAAACTTCAGATAGAAGTGAAGCGTTCGAATTTCTCCACATGTGGTTTATAGCATGTCCTGCAGATCTCGAT